AAAATTGCAATCCACCCTCTCTTCCCAACAAAAAAGAAGAAGAAGAAGAGAAGAAGGAGGATCTTGTAACATTTGTAAAGATGTTTCCTAGTGTTCTTCATATTCAATTTTGCTTTGTTTTTCATTTAGACAACAGTCTCTCTGCTCTAGTTTTTATTTTCATGGACCCGTTATACATCCAAAAAATATCTCCTCTTTCACTTTGCTGTGCAGGGTTTTTGGGACTCTGTATTACTGTACTTCCCCCCTCTTAGATTGTTATTACCTCTGACTTGGTGGTTGAAGCCTATAAATCCATGTTGTGCATTCAGATTATGCATATCTTTGTTTTTTTTTCTTTTATGTAATATTCCTGCTTGATTAATGTTTTTACTTATGATGATGTCTTTTTCAGAATACAATGCATTTGCATTTTTTCATAAATTGGAAACAGTTCCTCATTTTCTGTCAAATGATCACATTTTCCTGCTAGATCTTCCAATTGTTTGAACCATCTTTATATGAGACTTTTGTTGGTGAAAAATAATTGTAAGGACATAAAACACACTGAAATTTATTAATGGTCAATCATAAATAATAGCCTCGACTATTTTGGGGTTAAGGCTTTTTTGTTGCTGTCAGTCACAAATTCTCATGTCACTCAATGGCTGATAGTTTTTTGACAGCTACCTTTCTTAAAAAGATAAATCTATTCCATGTGTTCTCTACTTCTATGCTCTAGCCTGCAATTGATTCATATGGCGGAGCATTTCTTGTTTTCTCTGCAGATAGACTGAACCTTAGAATGGCTAGCGAGTACAAGTATCTTAACCAGAGTGAGTGCTTGGTACTTGATGGTGTTGATGATGGCATGGAGTTTCATAAGCTTGTGGTAATTCAAATAATTATGTGTTTCTGTTGCTGTTTTTGAAGTCTGCTGTCACTTCATTTGTATTATGGTCACAAGCATCCATCATTCTTTTTTCTCATCTCCCTAGGATGCCATGGACATAGTTCATATTTGCAAAGATGATCAAGAGCAGGCATTTGCAATGCTTGCTGCAGTATTATGGCTTGGGAACATATCGTTTCAAGTAGTTGACAATGGAAATCATGTGGAGGTTCTCGCTAATGAAGGTAAGATTGATATCATTTTGAGTAAAATGAATTGCCAGCTCTCAGTACTTGCCAATAGCAGACAACACCTTAATTTTTTTCATTTCACCATTAATGGAAGTGGGATTTTTTTTACTCAATTAGCACGTCTTGATTCATCATAAAAAAGGGATAAGTATGACTCTCCTCATAAGACTAGTTGAATCTGTTATTATTTTAAGAGTTTGTGTCCACCTACCACTTACATGAAGAATATTTTCATGGAAAGGGATGGAGTAATAAATCTGGTCCTGGATTTCCAATGGTACTTTGGATGACCATAATCATATGTGCAATTGCATCTTAAGAGCTATCATGCTGAAATAGTATTTGCATGATCAACAACATATGGAATGGTGCTTGTATGTGTGCTGATATGAGAATTCAGATGAATGAGTGGAACAGCTCATTGTGATTAAAAATTGATCTTCAAGCATGTGCACTGCATTACATTCATGACGTGATATCACTTTTATATCATTGTGCCTTTTCTGAAATAAACTGATTCCTTTTCTTTTCCTTTTGGCAGCTGTAGAAAATGCTTCCAAGCTAATAAATTGCAGTGCCCAGGACCTGGTGGTAGCTCTATCAACCCATAAAATCCAAGCTGGAAAGGATTTTATTGCTAAAAAATTGACAATGCAAAAGGTGTGTTTAGTTCTTGATTTGAAAATAAAGTTACCCTGCATTACGCCATCATTGCTGTATATTTACCGGACGATACACATTGATTTAAAAGGCTCTGTATCATCTTCTTCACAGGCTATTGGTAAAAGAGATGCATTGGCAAAGTTTATCTATGCCAGGTTGTTTGACTGGCTTGTGGTACAAATAAACAAGTCAGTTGAAGAGGGTGAGCTGAGTACTGGGAGATCCATAAGTATCCTTGATGTCTATGGTTTTGAGTCATTTAAGGTATATAGATTGTACCTATCTGTTTGATGATCTTTTAGTGCTGTAAACTCGTGACCCTCGTGATAACCTCTTTACATTTTCAGAATAATAGCTTTGAGCAATTCTGCATAAATTATGCAAATGAGAGGCTGCAACAACATTTCAACCGGCATCTATTTAAACTTGAGCAGGAAGTAAGCATCTCATATCAAAGCAAATTCAACTTTAGGGTGTGCTGGTTATAATGGAAGTGGCCTCCATGATGGTGCAAAATGCTATGAATATGCTATTGTTTCATAAATGAACTTATTCTCTTCGTTTTTTCAGAGTCAGGATATTTTCGTATAATCTCTAATCAATGAAAATGAAATGATTATGCTTTGCTGTCTGGACACATTTTTGTAAGAGAGAGTTTTAAAAGCAAATTAAGGAGTATATGCCACCAAAATTGTGGGCCTTTCTCTTTCTGCCACGTATACTGCATGGCTATAGGCATGAAACAAATATGACTTCTATGCAGAATATTGGAACTCCTTTGTTGAAGCATACAAGTATGTAGTTAAATTTCTGTGCTAACTTGTAAGTTGCATATTAAAAATCTTGCGTATTTAGAAACTATGGAAAGATTTACATTTCAGGTCACTGATGCTTTTATCACACCAACTAATTATCGCAAGCCATTCCCCCATTTTTGAAACATGCATTTTTCTTTTGTTCCTCTGATATAAAGTCTCATGGACATTTTGGCTGTATTTTTTGTCTTTTGCTTCCCAGGTTAAGAATTCTTGAAATGTTTATTCAAATTTGTTTGTTTTAAAAAGTCTCATTGACATTTTGTTCATTAATTGAAGGAGTATGAAGAGGATGGGATTGATTGGACTAAAGTTGATTTTGAAGATAACCAAGAGTGCTTGAATCTCTTTGAGAAGGTATTTCAACTGCTGCTTGTTTCTATGTCCTTCATGTGCACCTATAGAATTCTCCTTGGTATATGAAACCAGAATGTTTGCCTTAAACTTAAAGTGGTCACTCTTCAATTATTTTGGTTGTTTCAGAAACCTTTAGGGTTGCTATCTTTATTGGATGAGGAATCAAATATCCCTAATGCCACTGATTTGACCTTTGCCAATAAGCTTAAGCAATACTGCAATGATAATCCTTGCTTTAAAGGTGAAAGAGGGAGGGCTTTTGGTGTTCATCATTATGCTGGAGAGGTGAGTTATATTTTACTTTTGAGAAGTTATGATTTTTTGCACTGTTGAAATTTTCAAGTCAGATTGGCAACTGTAATTCTATGAGGGTTTTTGCTTGTTCTTAGTACTAGAGTTGAAATTAATACATGCATAACAATTCATAATTTACTTGTGAAAAATCATACACGGTGACAACAATAACAAGAATTGACTACAGAAAAAGTTAATTGAAGTTGCAAAAAGGAGGTCAGTAAATACACATCTAATATAATTGAAACTTTTCAATCCTTGAATTGTTCTTGATTGTGCAAATATTTCTTTATATCCACCTTTTCACCATTTACTCATTTATGATTCATGTTTTAAATTTAAATATCAACAATTCTGGAAAAAAAAATTGGAAATAAAATGAAGTTCTATATGATGTGGGACAACTGAAAATGCAACATGTGCTGTATATCCTCTTGGTTATAGTTCTTTCTTCCAGGAATTTCTTTTGATTAAGTAGTCGATTAGATAATCAGAAACAAGTATATTGAAGCATATAAAATCATGTTCAACCAAGTTTTGCAAATTTGGATCTGCTTGGAGAATAAAGCTACAATGATGAAACACTGTTGAGCTTTTATATCATCATTTTATTTGTGGTAGAATGGATGCTAAAAACTTAAAAAGCAAAATTTGATGGCGGAACTCATTTGTTCTATATCCAAAATTTTAATGTTTGTTTACTTGCATCTCAGCACCAAGATAGGTAATTTCTCTAATTAAAATTGCTGTAAGATATTTATTTTTATAGAGGGTACTTTGTACTATATTTAGAAGATCTTTCTCTCTTTTGTTTGAGTAATGTCTCCGGTTGTTAGCTAAAATTACATTTGACTCTGATCTGTTGAAAATTTTATTCCTTGTCTGGGCTACTTGATTCATGCAGGGTTCTGAACATTTAAGTTGATAATATTTAAATAATTCACTAATATTTGGAATTTGATCAGGTTGTATATGATACAAATGGCTTTCTGGAAAAGAACCGAGATCCAATGCACTCTGATTTCATCCATCTGCTATCATCAAGTGGTTGCCAATTACCAAAATCAGCTGGTCTATCCTGTCAATCTGGTGGATTGGAATCCTCGATGCAAAGTGTTGTTACCAAATTCAAGGTAGATGAGGTTCTATTGTTCTGCATAACAACAATACCATGCGACTCTTGATGAATATGGAGATTCTTCTTTGTTTTGGAAGTATGTAGAGGACAAAAATCTTCTGGTATTTTGACACTGTACTGGTTGGCTTTTGGTGCTGCTCTTGAATTGATCACTGAAAATTAAAAACTGTATCCTTTGCTTGGGAAAAATTGGCAATGGCATTGACCATATTTTTTTTATCTGTATTCTTGCAATAATTTGTACTTTGCAAAATCTTGAGTGGTATTTCCTTCCTGTAGAGTCAACTCTTCAAACTAATGCATCAGTTGGAGAAAACAACACCTCACTTCATTCGCTGCATAAAACCAAATGCTAAGCAGTTTCCAGGCCAGTATGAAGATGATCTTGTCTCCCAGCAACTACGATGTTGTGGTGTTTTGGAAGTTGTGAGGATTTCTAGATATGGATATCCTACTCGAATGACACATCAAGAATTTGCAGGAAGGTACAATAAGACACAAATTTCTCAGTTCTCCAATAACTTCTCTTTTAAAGTTTATATTTCCTATCATAACCCCATATGTAATCTAGGTATGGTTTCCTGCTTAAGGAGACAAATGTATCTTGGGACCCACTAAGCATGTCAGTTGCTATTCTCAAAAAATTTAATTTCTTCCCTGAAATGTATGAAGTTGGTTACACCAAAGTGTACCTTCGAATGGGCCAGGTATGTGCTGGAGTTATTTTCACTGTTGTTAATGTTTTGTTATTTCCTCAAATTTCTTAATGTTATGTTATATGTTATTTCCTTGAATATGTTGTTTATGGATTTTGTGTGCTTTGTTTAAATGTCCAGAAGTTGCAATTTATTCTTTTAGCACAGGCATTAGGGGTGCATTTTGCAAAATCTCGAGAGTTGTATTTAATCAATGGATTGTGTTGATATTAAATAGTAACGGCTCAGTCTAGGAAAAAAGTTTTTAACAGAAAGTGTTTTATATATAAAATATGAAAAAAAAATTTTTTGAGTGTTTTATACAAATAGTGGTGTGCAATGACCAAGAAAAAGTTCTGAGTGCATGGCTCTTTCCAGTGTTATTTATGCATTTGATGAGGAGCCTAAAATCTGTTCAGAGCTTGTCAAGCTCTTCTCTTCAACAGATCCCAAGCTTTAGCTACTTTTATAATATTGATTTCTCAAGCTCTCAGATCCAAGCTTGAGCTACTTTTGATGAGGTTCCCAGAGGGAACAAACCTCAATTTTGCTTGCTTGCTTTGTGCCTGGTGCAATATATTATGCTATATATGGATGCTGTCATTGTACTGGTTAGCTTTGATTTCTGCAAAGACTTCTTGTGCTTCTGGCCTTGGTTGGTTGTTTCTTTAATTACTGATTGATTATATGTATTCCAGTGACGAGATTAGAATTTTTATCAGAAAAGGGAAAAAAATGACATAAAAAAATTGCAAGTGGCTGGACAAGTAGGGTTTGTGGCGCTCATCTCTGCTCTTGCATGGAACTTTTTTGTGTACTGTTACCTCCTGTGTACAATAGTAACACTGTTACCAATTAAGACTAAAACATTGCTGAAGTCACACATAACATGACTGATGAATCTAATGCCTGGTGAAGAGGTGTTTTATCCAGGAACCTGAACAAATTAGTTTGATGCTACTTCTAGGAATTGATTTGAATGTAATTGTTTTTGCTTGTAGCAAGATTTTCATGTTTGATTGGTTCCCTGGCATATCATATTGTTGACTCACAGATTGGGAGATTGGAAGAGCAGAGAAAACAATTTCTGCAAGGTATTGTTGAGGTTCAAAAGTATTTCCGTGCTGGCCAGGCCCGTCAACATTTCCGTGAACTCAAACAAGGAGTGGTGATGTTACAATCATGTAATGCACATTTCCTTCTAGTTGTTTTCAGTGTCTCATCTGGGATTTTTATTATTTGCTCTGTAGTCTTGTTATTCTCTAATTTTCTGGACAGCTTTTGCTTTGCACCATACTAATACAAATTGATTTCTCTGTTTTTTGGAGTGTTTTGTCCTTGGTGATCACATGTGTTTTTGCTATATGACAACAAAATCAGTTGTTTTGGCCACTCTCAGCATAGTCTGTTCCTTTGGGATGGATGCTGAGGGACCTATTAATGATTAGGTCAGTATTTTCTGCTTTGCTTTTGATTCAGATTACTATTGAAATGCAGTCATCCGTGGTGAAAACATGAGAAGGAAATACAATCACATGATAAAGAGGCGCACAGTTAATGCTCCTCTAGCAGTTGATGAAGTTGATGATCAGCTACTGGCAGCTTTATATTTACAATCTGGTAAATGTTCTGTTGTTTATTGACCAATTTTCACTTTTTTCCCTAGTAGATGTAATATTCTAACCATTTGTTTCTGCAGTAATCCGTGGGTGGTTGGCTCGAAAGCAGCTCAACAGTATGCATAAAATGAAGCAGTTAACTCATGAGAACTCAAATTCCAAAAGAAAACCGGGCAAGAAGATTTCAGAAGTGAAGGTACACATTGGTGTAATTCTTACGTTTCAACTTGATTTATTCTTCATTTTCCCCACCTGTTGAAATGTTTTGGTGGTCACTAGCTTTCCCAAATATAACATACAGAAGTCATACATTTGGTTTTTTGTGTACACACGTGCAGTTTTAAGTGCTTGGTATGGATGGCTGGCTCATTTGGGTATAACATTGGTGAAATTATGTTTTTCTATTCCTGTTATGATGAGATTTCATGTATGCTCTGTTTACATGTGTGGCATTTAGAAGGGCCTTTTTTTCCTCTGTTTTTTTCTATGCATATCAAGCATCTCTAAAGTGTTAAGAAGCTGATTTCAGCTGTTTGTCCAGGTCATACCACAAGAGCAGGTTGACATTCAGGCTTCAATTTTAGCTGACCTCCAAAAAAGGGTTGTTAAAGCAGAAGTAACAGTTGCACAAAAGGAGGAGGAAAATGCTGCACTGAAAGATCAATTGCAACAGAATGAGAAAAGATGGTTGGATTATGAGGCAAAGATGAAAGCAATGGAAGAGATGTGGCAAGTGCAAATGGCATCATTGCAAGTGAGTTTGCTTGTTAATAGTATACACATAACTAAGTGCATGAATCATATGCTTTATTGCGGTATGTATTACGGGAGCTTAAAAAACAGTTCAAGAACTGTGGAGAAATTAATTATAAGTTATGGCTTCTATATTGAACTGTCGTTGTATTTCACTAGATATGTAGACTAGGCAGTGCTAGATTGTCAATCAAAACTGGTTTGAACATGTCCTTGTCCATGTTAGGCATGTTGGCTATCCATGATGATCTGCTAAATAAGCAAGGGACTGCCAATGATGATTAGCTTTAGCTGGTTTAGTCCCACTATAGAACCATGAAAGGTTGAGGAAATGTAAACTGTATGATCACGTTCTTGAAGTGAGCTGTGTCTTCAATTTTGAAATGTTGATTGAATAACTTCTCATTGCAAACCAAGAGAAGTTGAGAAGGCTACTTCAATAAATATCTTCTGATGGCTGAAGTGCTGAAATTTGTTGGTGATTGGGCTCTGGCTCAGGTCCATGTCTTCAAAAGAGATCAAAGCCTTTCTTCTACCATGTTACTGATCCTCCCCACTGTGATCCATCTCAAAGCCAAGAGTTAAGAAATTTTATTTTTTTGGTATGCGAGAAGCAATTTCTTATGGTTGCTGCTGTCAAAAGCTTCAAATGCAATATGTAGAAGTAAAAATGCTGATCTCTTATTAATATGTGTACACAAAAACACACATGACTGGCAGGCACCCATTAAAGGGTGAGACCTGCAAGGACCTCATTAGTCATTACCTGACGAGATATTCTGTGAATCTGTTGCAGACGAGTCTTGCTGCAGCCAGAAAGAGTCTTGCAGCTGACAACACTGCAGGCCAACCTGGAAAACTGGATTCTTCTACATCACCTCACTATTATGATTCTGAAGATTATGTTTCTACGGAATCTCGAACTCCTGGTGGGAACACTCCCAGCATATTTGCGAATACCTTCCCTGATTTAAGAGCAGTGAGAGAGAATAATGGTCCTCTGCATGCAGTCAGCAATCTTACAAGGGAATTTGAGCAGCAGAAACAAAATTTTGACGACAATGTCAAAGCATTAGTTGAGGCAAGGGCTGGGCAATCAGCTTCCAACATGAATCCGGATGAAGAGCTTCGAAGATTGAAACTAAGGTTTGAAACATGGAAGAAAGACTATAAGGTTAGATTAAGGGAGACGAAGGTAAGGCTTCACAAACTTGGGCATGGAGAAGTTGATAGAAATCGTCGAAAATGGTGGAGGAGATAGGCACAAGAGTATCAAAATGATCCAGTTTATAACGCGATCATATTTGGGGGGGCATGGAGAAAGTTGAAAGAGAAGCAGCAATTCAAGAGCAAACAGTGCTTCCAAGAAGCTGCTTCGTTTTCAATTCTGGATGTGTTGCTTTAATTCTAGCTATGGAAACAGCAATTGGTGTTCATATTTCGTGAGGATAGTGTAGTGGGGGAAATTGTATGTCTACCAATTTTTGTTGCTTGGTGGAAGGATTGATGGTCATGTGAATAGCTAGCTGGGTTTGTTCCAGCCCCAGTTTCTTATTTTTTTAGTTTAGGTTAGTTGTATATCTTATTATGATAGATGCAAGGACGAACTGGGTAGTACCAAGTGTGAAATATGGAATGAAAGTAATTTTTTTCCCCCTTGGAAGCATCATCATAGTCCTGTTCTACTTGCTGTCGTTGTTTTGTTCTTACAAATTCAAAGTTCATGTTTGGTAGTTCCATTACTTGAATCGCTCAATGAGAAACACTGTTTCCCATGTTTATTCTTATTCTTTTGAATACTTATCATGGCTCTTGCTTCTGTTTTTTTCGTCAGCACTCCGAATATTTGATACAATGACATAGCAGGAAGGTTTGTATGGCGCCGATGCCATGCCTGTAGGTGCATCTTGTAAAGAAAACATTAACCTTTCACACAACAATTTACATCGGATCACACAACGAAACAGATTGTACAATTTACTTTGGATCCCAACGACACAAAATCTTCAAATCTAGAAATACAGTAACCACGACAATCCTGGCAAGATCTTTCCATTCGAATCCGAGAAAGTAAATGTTAATTTATGACCCGGGCACAAACTTGGTGGCGTAGACCCAAGCGTTGTTGGCAACTGGGTTGTCAAGGTGGTCCAAGAGGTTCTCCAGGGGACCTTTTCCAGTAACAATAGCCTGAACAAAGAATCCAAACATGGAGAACATAGCTAACCGGCCATTCTTGATTTCCTTCACCTTGAGCTCGGCAAATGTGGTTGGATCATCTGCCAGGCCGAGAGGGTCGAAGTATTGGCCGCCAGGGTAAAGGTCATTGCCCTCTCCTACTCCAGGGAGACCATTGATGCGGAATCCCTCAACAAGGCCCATGAGGACAACTTGGAATCCAAGGACAGCAAGGATGCTTTGGGCATGTACAAGGTTGGGGTTGCCCAAGTAGTCCAAGCCACCTTCTGAGAAGATTTGAGCTCCAGCTTTGAACCAAACTGGTTCCTTGAAGTCTACCTTAACCCATTTCTCAAGGACTTCTGGGGTGATGCAACCTAGTGCTCCTAGCATTGCCCATCTGCCATGGATGACCTAAAAAATTGCGCTACAGTTTAGGGGAGCCACCAGCCCATCAATCCTTTATGCATTCGTAAAATATGTCCATGAATGCTTCGCAATATCACAGATTGTACTGGGTGAGTAATATTTAAGTCACATTTTATATCAAATTTCATTCCATGAATGATTTTTCCAAGGCTATTATTCATTACAGAGAAACTAGTAATGATTTTTGTTACAAAAAGGTTACCTCAAGAGCTCTGTTCTTAGCAAAGGCCTCAGGATCAGCTGATAAACCAGCAGTATCCCATCCATAGTCACCAGGGAATTCTCCAGTCAGGTATGAAGGAGTCTGAGCTGAAAAAGGTCCCAAGTACTTCACTCTGTCAGGTCCATACCACAACTCATTGCCCTATCCAAAAAGAACTTAAATTATTAGCCCCCATCCAAATAAAAGAAGAAAACAACTAGAGAAGAGAGAGCTAAACCTACCATGATGTATTTGCCATTTCCCATGGAGACAACATCTCTAAGAGGGTTAGCATTTGAACCCTTTTTGCCAAGAAACGGGGTTGGTCTTGCAATGGTGCTTGAGCTAGCAAGAGATGCCATTGTCTTCCAGACAATCCTTACTGTTTTTCCCTGGGTTAGAACTTATTGATGCCTCTTGAAGAGTAGAAAATTATAGTCTTGAAGGGTGTAGAAAGGAAGTGTTAAACTTATATGTGAAGGAAAGCAAGAGAATCAGAAGAACGAGTGGTTAAGAATACAAGAGAGACAAGTGGTGGTGGGGATCTTTGAGGTTCAAATCAACCAATGAGGAGGCTGCAAAGGATTTTGAAGTATCTCGAACTAATCTCCTTCTATCCTCATATTATCTTGTATGTACTTCAGATAGTTTTGTTATTTTTTGGCCATGAAAAGTCTTTTTACAAATTTGCAACTACAATTCCTAGTTCGCATAGTCGCCATGACCTGTTTGGAATTTTGATCCAATTAAAAGCTCGGGTTACTGGGTTTCAAGTTCATTCAAAAGTTATTATATCAATTCATATCCATAATTTTTATTTTAAATGATATCATTTTTATTTTTTTTTAATTTAGTGAAAGTTGATTTAAGCAAATCTTATTTTAATTTAGATTAATAGGAGTTTGAACTTTATTTTTTTTAATGAGGTTATTCAAGTTTTATAATTAAAATTATGAGTTTGAAGGGTTGATTCGATTTTTTTTCCTTAAATTTATCTATTAACATTGAGTTGATTAAAAATTAAACTTTATGATTTGTTTTGGTTTGATTTTTATAAGGTTATTACTGCATTATGAATCGAGTCACAAATTTACTAGTGAACCTGGGTTGACTCGAAATGTTTTTTTATATTTTTTATAATTTTATCTTTCAATACTGAATTAATTAGGAATTGATTTTCATGATTGATTTAATTTATTTTTTATTAGGTTATCCTGATCTCATGACTCAAATCATGAGTTTAACTAATTAATTCGGGTTGACCACGATTATTTTTTGTCCTTTTTTAATTAATTTTTTAAAATTTTATCATTTAATATTAGGTTTATTGAAAATTAAAATTTATAATTTATTTTGAATTATTTTCTATGAGGTTATTATAGTTTCATAATCTAGCATGCAGATTAATAGGTTATTCCATGTTGATCCGATTCGATCTAATATGTTTTCGTCTCTATATTTATAATAAAATCTCATCTTGAGTATTTATTTTGAATCAAATTATATTTTTATTGGTCATTTAGATGATTTTTACCCATTAAATTGAATGAAACACATTAGATCAATTCACTTATAGTTTTGATTTTTTCTTTACTAATAAAAATAATTAACAATGCCTTGATGCTTTTTTCTTATTTCAAAAAGAAAATTTTGATTTAACATAACATGAGCTATAAATTTAGTTAACATATACTAAAAGAGTTTGGCTTTTCAATATAGTAATGAATATTAAAAGCCAGCCACTTTTTCACTTTGATTTTTACAATTTTTTAACTTTTTATTTTTATTTTTTTAACTTCATCCTCGAATATTGGTTTTACTAGGTATATAACTTCATAATTTGTTTTAATTTTTTTTTATAGAGTTATCTCAGTCTCATAACTTAAGTTACAAGTTTTGCAGGTTAGCCATATTGACTCAAGTTAATTTTTTTTTATTTTTTAATAATTTTTTAAATTTTATCCATCAACATTGAAATAATTGATAATTAAACTTTATATTTTTTCTTGATTAATTTTTTATGGAGTTATCTCAATCTTATAATTTTTACAGGTTAGCTATCTTGACTCGAGTTATTTTTTTATTCATTATTTTATTTTATTTTTTGAATTTCATCTTTTAATATCACTTTAGAATGTTTTTTAATTTACTTTATAAAGAGTTATTTCAATATTTTGACCTATGTTTTTTAAGTTAACCTGTGTTGACTCAAGTTATTTTTTTGTTATTTTATCATTTAGACCTTTAAAATTAGGTTGATTGATAATTAAAATTTAAAATTTTATATATTTGATTTTTGTGGGATTATCATGGTCTTATAACTTGAGTCATGAGTTAAGTCGGTTGACTCAAGTTTTTTAATTGATTTTTTTAAAATTTCATCCTTAAATATTAAGTTGATTGAGAATTAAGTATTATAATTTATTTTAGTTTGTATTCTATGATGTTATCTCGATCTCATGACTTGAGTCACAAGTTGATCAGTTGATTTAGGTGGTTTTTTATATTCATTTTCTTTTAATTTCATCCAAGTTAATTAATTAATTTATTTAGTTGAATTTTATTTTTAATTTTATCATTAAATATTAGATTGATCGAGAATTGAATTTAATAATTTTTTTATATTAAGTTATCAAAGTCTCATAACTTGAATGATAAATTTGATAAGTTAATCTGATTTAGTTATCTTTTTAATATTTAAAAAAATACTATCAAATTTAAAAAATAAAAAATACTATCAAATTTATCACTTTCTTTCTGTTAATTTTTGTTCATTCTTAAAAACCAACTTTCTATCCTCCCAAATCCTTATCTAACATAGTGATATATCATAGAAGAGGGAGGGGAACAAAACATTTTAGAGAAAGGAGGAAGAACAGTATTGCAAAAAGTTCAAAGCATCCTCTCATGAAGATTCTTTCTAATTCGCATGCTATCAATGTCTCCTGATTAGTCCTTCATGTTACAAAAGAAACCACCGCGAGAGGCTAGCTTTTATCCCTCCACTTCAATATTTCAAAATTTCCCAACGGTCGAATTTACTTGCCCCGTAAAAACCAGACGATTACCTTCCACCTTCCTCACATTGCAGATCTCGACCGTAAAATTTTCGTATACCCCAACTAGTCCACCAATCCAACGGTGTATGACTCACTCAAACAGAGATCAAAGCACCTGTCTTGTCACGTAAAATAAATATACAGTCGTTTTAAGGCTGTCCACAATGGGAATTTTGTTAAAAAACAAAAAAGTGGAGAGAGAGAAGCCGATTAGACTGGAAATGGAGAGTTTGGGTTCTTTTCAAGAATTCAATAAAGAAACACGAACACTGTGATTTTTTCTTTGAAGAGCTCTTCCTCATCACTTAAAAAGAATCCGTAAATGGCTCTTGTAAATAATGCCAAGGATCACTGGGCATTTCTGGTAAATCTCTCCTCCTATTTTCTAAGGGATTTTTATGGGGTTTATGAGTCCTTTTCTTCTCTTTGAATTCTTGGTTTTTTTTGTGCATCTTTGGAGGGGTACTTAAGTTTTTTTGGATTATGAAATGGGTTGTTTTTGTTTGTTGATCTTATCACATAATTTAGCAGGGTTATGTGTGTAGTTGATTAGGGGTTATCTATTTTTAACAGGTTTTGATTGAAATTTTGATATTTTTTTTGCCCCTTGAATTTGGTATCTTGGTCGTATCTCTGATAATGATATAGCAGATCTTTTATTTCTTGTATGTTTTTAATCTTGGAACTTTATTTTCATTTTTTAGTGGATTTTTTTTTCAATTTGATTTCTAGTAAAAATTTTTTTTATTGGTTTTTAGATTTCATGTGGAAAATTTGTTACAACATATATATAATGTTGATTTTGGACTTAGCTGACTCAGCTGAATTGATTTGAGTATAATTTAGTGCAAACAATTACAGTTATTTAGTGTTTTTCCACCATTGGAATATCTTGCATTTTATGGTTCGGAATTAGAACTATTGGATTTCTTTTCAGAATTTTAGGCTCAGTTGATGCAAGTTTCTTTTCATTTTCACGTTGTTTAATAGCCGCGACTGTTTGTTTGGTAATGGTGGAGTTCATGATTTATATGGATTTTAATGCATTCGTTTGGTACACATTTTTTTATTTTGTTATGCTTGTTGATCAACGTTTAGGAAGAAATTGAAGCACCAATGTGGGTGGATTTCACTGTAGAAGAAAAGTTTAACTACCAAGATGTGTGAGTTCCTCACTTCCTCTCTATGTTATGAACTACCATGAGAATTCCATGGTTTTTCAGAATTCGGTAAGAGAAATTCTGCATTTGTGATACCAATGCGTTTCTTTTTTCCACATTGCAGAGATGATAAGTGGTTTCATACTAGCCATCCGTAAGCATCTTTATCCTTTGAGTTATATTTCTTTTTTCCATATTTAGCAGTGGGTTTTTGTTTGTGAAAATCTAAATTACAATAGTGATGTTCATTAACAACTAAAGCAATATGATTACAGGTTCCACCAGTGTACTTCTCGCCAGTTAAAAGTTGCGTTTGCTCATTCTAGTGAGAGGAGTATGTCTTCAGATTTTGAGTTTAAGGGATCATCTTCCCCGAATATTCCATCTTCTGTCTCAAGATCAAGGGGAAAACATTATGCAGGCAAGAAATGGGGAGGAGGTGAATGTGATCTCTCAATGACTAAGAAGCATCCAGTTAAGGTGTTAAATGATAAGTCTTCAAGGGTGAATTCAGAATCCAGTGATGAAATAAAACCCAAACTAAGCTTTGCAAATTCTAAAGGAACTTCTAGGTCAAAATTAAGTACGGTTTCTGGGAAGAGCTTCACTGGAATTGCTAAGGAAACTGATTTAAAAGCTAAATCTGGTCAAGGTGGTAGTGAAAGTAGTTCGAATTCTGGGATGGCTATGGTAAGTGATAGCAATACAAGTACTGTTACATTTGGGAGTGGTCATCAAGCACGGCAAGGGAACATGGAAGTATTAAGTCGAGGATTTGATCACACAAGTGGGCTTCTGTCAGCTGTGAGGAATGGTCTTAGGAAAAGCTTTGTTACAAGAAAAGCATCAAGGGTGGATAAACAATTAAGAGATCGCAAGTCTTCATCCAGCAAATCTAGTGTTGGATCGTCTTTGAACAATGGTTATGATGTCAAGAGCTCGACACTTACATTGATGAGGAAGAAAGAACAAACTCCAGATAGCAGAAATGTGGCAAGGATGACTGAAGCAGCAAGGAAGAAAACAAAAGATTCTAACATGTCCAAGACTTCTGATGTTCGAGTGAAGGAGAAGGTCTTTAATTCTAGAAAGGGAGCTATAAGTAATGTCTCAAAATCAGCTCCCCAAGAAGCTCTGAAATCAGAGGTTAGAATTAGAATCTGTAGAAATTCAAGATATGTTGGTTGCATAATTTTTTTCTAAGCACAGAAACTTTTGGATATTTGACAAATTTTATCTAAAATAATTTATTACATTCTATCTTAACACAGCAATAGATTGCCAAGATGAGTGATACTTTATGTAGAATTTTTCATACATGACATCATAATGACGGGACAAGTTGAAATTGTTCTAAAATTCACAGGTTCAGAAGCAGACCCTCCGAGGTTGAAATTGTTCATACATGAATTCACAGGTTCAGAAGCAGACCCTCCGTGTAACAGCATTGGCCGAACACAGAGGAAACAAGCAACGCTCGTTACCTGGTACTGCAAAATCTAGGGAGAAGGTAAGAGTTAGTAGGCTTAACAAAATGGTTGCCCCTGGGAAAGAGAATGTGACAGGAAAAATGTCCTTGAGCCAAAACTGCAGCAGCAGAGGGACCAAACTGAATGTGCCACAAAAGGGTGACAAAACGGTGTTACTTTGACGAAAGGTACAATTTGTTGATCATCAATTTTCTGTCCTCAACTTTGATTTTTCCCCCCTGAAAATTGCATAGGCGTCTACGGACATATGAGGTTCTTCAGCAATTTATGAGGACAAAAGTTCAATATTAGACAACCCATTAAAAGAGGTCTGAAATACATTCTGGTAATGAGAATTTTACGGGAGCTTCCCTGTTATGTAAAGCATCTTGATTTATTTGTAAAAGCCTTTTTTCTTATACTCCATGGTAGCAGTCTGATGCTCTCTCCTCTAAAGGTGTCCTTGGATTTCAAGCACAAGTAGGGAAGAATACGAAGTTCTGAATTGTATGCTAGGTTTGGACTGATAATTGTGTACGATGTGGAGTTTTTCATTGTTTCTTAAAACTTGCAATCTAATTAAATTTTTTAATTTATTATTAGGGGGTAATTGTTGCTTGCATAGGTAGTGCCAGTGTCCAATTTTAGCTTGCGAAGTTAGTTGCCAGTGTCACTGGCAGGTATGAGAATGGTGCTGGACATCATTCTTTTATTCCTTTTCCTCCTCTAACCCCTCATGACCTTTTATTCCAATAACACTTGAGGTTGGCAGCACCTTAAGCTGCTCATGAATTTGGTAACAATTGAAAATCAAAATTTACTCATTCAGCTGTAAATTCCAATCGTATGCTTTGAATTTGTTGACGGAATTTCTTTCTCAGGGAGGAATTCTTATTGGAATTGCATGCAGAGCTTTTAGTCCTTAAGTTCTATTTCGCAAGCGGTAAGTGTCTTTCTTTCTGAATGGGAATGGAATGTCTTTAAACAAGAACCGATGCAACATCGGTTTGATGATGTCTCTGTTGGATGGGTGTCATTTTCGTGGCTCTCTTTTGATTATTATTTTTTTGGTACTATATGCAATAGTTTTATACAATCTGATTTTTCAACAAACTATCTAGCAGGGAAAAATCAGTAGCCCAGGCAACGGGAAGCATCCAACAAATGCGATTGGAGGGTCTACGTTCGATAAACAAGCATTGCAGGACAGTTTTTGTTTGTACATAAATTGCCAACGCAGTCTCATTAACATAGAAACGTGGAATTTCATTCAAGCTTACCAGATTCAGAGGCAAATTACCAGATTCAGAGGCAAATTTTGTTATCATGCCTTTTCTACTGACCATGCCTGCGGCTTTCTTTCGTACAAGTGCTCTTTTATCTCAGGCTTTGCTATTCGAGCACATACGAATTGGTGGTCTCTCTTCCTTGCTTCAATTTCAACTAACAAGCATGGAAATTATTGGTCATGTTGACAATGTGATATCCAGTTTTGACACCTGCGTCAATCAAATTGATTTTTATTAAACGAATAGATGTTGCTATCTTGCAGTTTATATGGTGATTAGCCGCATTTTTTTAGCAGATAACTCTTTTAACAGTATTTGAACTTCTAAAATCCACCAAGCTGTGTCATTACAGTAATCTTGCAATTAAATCGAGTAACCCCTCTATTTTTAACATAAATTTGGAACGCACCAAGCTGTGTCCAAAGTTCTACGTTTTGGGGTATTATCAGGAGAACATTCTGTGCTTAAAGTACACCTCTCTTCCTCCTGCGAAGAAAATTAAGCCAGCAACACCAAAAAATAAATTTCAATAAGATTGGCAAGAAAATACCTGATTAGGAGAATTCCGTAATGGTTTTTCTATACATCAGTGTTTACCATTGTTATTTTCCCAGAGCCCCTCATCATATCACATGTTTCATCCTCGTACAATATTTTCTGTTTCTTAGGTATGTTGTTTTAGACTACAGTGTTTTCCTGATGGTTCTTGATCGTGTATTATTGCAACATCCTTTCCAGATTATCACCGGGCACTCATGTTTCCATTTTGCCTTCTAACATTTTTGGCTTAAGGCAAAATGTTCAGAGACCATGACACTGTTGGTATAAAGAAAGTTCTTCAAGATAAGAGGCATAAGAACCCTCAGTTGCAAACCACTCGAATGTTGTCTTTTCAAGGCATTGCTTCTTTCCAGCAACGAAGAAGGATGTGCTTTATCTTAATCTGGTTTTTGAGGACGTTCCTGAATCTGTTCATCGTGTGATTAATGCATGTCAAACTTTATACACATTGTATAAGAGCATCTCCAATGGAGAAGCCAAATGGATAGCTAAAAATAAAAAATTAATATTTTGGCTTTTTTTTGCTTGTTTTACACACTCCAATGGAGAAGCCAAACAAAATGTTAAAATGCCTCTTCTCTCCCACAAATGCTATTTCTACATATCTCTTTAAAGAGCCAAAACCAACAAAGTGGGACCACTAAAAAAATAGACCAATTAAATGTAGACATGTGGAAAAAAATAGCATTAAACAATATTAAAAAATAATAAAACACTTATTTTTTTCACTCTAATATAAATGGCTCTTTAAATGGCTTTTTTCCATTGGAATAGATATGGTAAGATAAGCTATATTTATTTAAAATGCTATTTTATCAATTTAGCTTTTCAAAATAGCATTTTGGATTGGAGATGCTCTTAGATGAAGAGCTGTCCAATTGAATTGGGTTTTTACAATGAGCTATTAGATAAAGAGCTATCCAATTGAATTGGGTTTTTACAATGAGCTTCAAGCCCATGAAGATTGAAAGGAAAAGACTGCTGAGCTTCCATTTAATGGACTGTGATCCAAGTCAAATTCCACATTCATATTCAGTCCAATTATATTTGGGCTTCACATCTGGTCTCAAATTACAACTTGTTTCGAGAATCTGTTTCAGGTGTCACTGTTCCAACATAAGAATGATAGAACTTTTGTGGCCGTGTAAAGTCTCTCATTTTCACAAAGGGAGAAATTGCAAGTTGCTTTTATGATCCAGAGCCATAACTCAATTTTGTGTGTCTAAATTTATTATCTGATAAACGTTTTAGCATTCACTTGCCACGATTAGATGTGAAAATCCTGTATATTAATCCATTGATTCCATTATTATGAACTCCGGACTTACCTTTAATCTAGGATTTAAAATCTTGATCGAGTTTTAAATTATAAAAATTTAGGTTTGTAATTGGTCCAATCAATCAGAAACCAGATGACATGATATAATGAGACCTAATTTTTTCAATAAACTCAAAAAATATAAAATTATTTTATAAATACTTAATTTCATATTTTTTTATAACCTATTTTTATATGAATTATTTCTTTAACTTTTTGATATAAGATAACTATATATAATATATATATATACACATAGATTATTATTTCTTAACTTTTCAATGTGATAATTATCTATATAAATTATTTCTTAATATTTTAATATGAGTTAACTATACTAGATTTCTTTATTTTTTATAATCTACATTTAAATACATTGTTTAAAAAAAATTTCATATTGAATAATAAATCCTCAAATATAATTTTTTTTTCTTTTTCTGGGTTGGCCTGGAAGAACCTATATTGCCTGAAATCTTGTCTCTTAAACGGGTTATTTATGAGTCAGGTTTGATAACCATAATCTAAGCATAATCAAATATCAGCCAACAGGATTACTTGAACGGGAACAACAAGATGAGTTTTTATTTTTGGTTTCAGGTGCAAATTCTTGAATAATTACGAACTCGTTGAGTCCCTTGTAGGATACAAGAGAGGGCGACCCGGTGATGGTGTCAAAAGTTGCTGTATGCTAGGCCCTGGAAACTTCAGTGGCGATGAGCTCTTATCACGGTGCCTAAGAAGACCTTTTAGAAAGACCTTTTTTCTAAAGAACCAACACATCCACAAGAAAATATGGCTGGGGGGGGGGGGGGATGGCTGTTGTTTTTTATTTAAATTTTGTTGTAATTATTAGGATTAAAAGAAAAAAACACCCTCATCAACGCATCTTTTGTCTTGTATCAAAATGTGGTCATAAGAACCATTCCATGATCCATCCACAAAGTTCCCTCTTGTCCCATTGCCAAAACTGGTTTGTCTCTGCATGATTCTTGCTTTTTTACTTGATTTATCCAATCAGGTAGAAATCTTCCATGTGATTTCTTCTTTACCTTTCATAATTGTGATCCCTGATTTTCAAGAGATACTAAAATGAATTACTTTCTTTCAGCTTGCATTTTACATTTAGATTATGATTCTGATTCTGATCATCGCTACAACTCTCTGTGTAAACTTGATCAAGATCAAAAGAGAACCTGTGCAGGCCAACGTAATTAAGAACCAAAGACAAGAGAGGCTAATAGCGAAGAACCTGTGTTTTATTCTCTTTCATTTTCTATACCACACAAGGCGGGTTACCGGAAAAGCAGAACAGTAAAGGAAATGTCAAGCTTTCATTGTATCTAAGGTCCCTAATGGTTCTAAGGTTTCAAACTGATTTTTCTCAGGTTCTGGATAACTAGCAGAGCCCCTGAAGAGCAAGATTGAAAGGCTTCCAACCTGAAAATATATGAAACATCCAAAGCAGTGGGTTACAAATGAACCAAAATCTCTTCCCACAACGCATTGCCACCCTGGTCCATACATCCTATCAAATTCCTGCATCAAACACAAGCACAAAACCCACTTAAATAAGCCTGAAAATTCAAGTTTCACATTTTATTTGCAAAACTTGTATGTTTAAATATTCTTGGTACAAATTCCTGCATGCGCGCGCGCACACACAGAGAAACAACATGCAAGCTCCATATGCATCCTGTAGCTCACCTGCTTAATAAAACGAGCTATTTCAGTAGCGTCGGTGGCGTCAAAGAAGTCGAGGGCTTTGGCTGCAAGATCAAGGGCATCTTGTTGCATGGTTTGAAGCATGTCAGTCTCACCAATGACTGCCTTGCCTTCTAGCATGGCTGATCTGATTTTTAGTTGAATATAAAGATTTCCTGAAGGAAGAAATTAAGAGATAGAGATGTCGGCAGCTAGGAAATGAAGAAAAATGGACTGATTGGATATTGGACAAGGCCTAGATACCGAGTTCTAGAGGGGGTGATGGTGGGGATTTATATTGAGCTCGGAATAAAGGGGTGGCGCCAGTGGGTCAGCCACGTATAGGATCCCTTCTCTGTGGTCAGTAACTAAGGATGTGGGATTATGCCATTGGAATATTTGATCATGATGAGCTTGGTGGACCCTTCTACGCAAATGACCCAATCTTGATTCTGCTACAAATTGTATAGCAAATTAGATCATTGACTATGCCGAGTCAATTTTTTTAAATATAAAAAAATATTTAAATATTACTAATGAGATTTTCAGCGAAAAAAAATTATATAAGATTTTAGCCGATGTTATTTAGTTAATTTTTTGATTCAAGAACAACATTGATAACCTATAAAATATAAAATATAATTTGACTTAAAAAAATTTTAAGATGATAATTTTTTTAATATTAAAATAATAATATATTGGATTGACTTAGATCATCCATGTTAAAATATTAAATTCATAACCTGATTTTTGAGAATATAATAACTCTATATAAAATAAATTAAAATAAATTATAAAGTTTCATTTCTAATTAATCTAATGTTGAAGAATGAGATTAAAAATAATAATTAGAAAAGAACCTAAAAAAGAGACTCGAGTTACCTTGTCATATTCACAATTTAGGTCATAAGATCAAAATAACCTCATGGAAAGAAAATCAAAACAAATTATGGAATTCAATTTCTAATCAGTCTAATATTAAAAAACAAAACTAAAAAAATAACCCAAGTTAATATGTCAAACCTATGACCTGAGTTATGAGATAAAAATAATTTTATAAAAAAAATATAATTTAACCAGGATTAACTTCTCAAATTCATGATTTTGGTCATGAGACTGAGATAACCTCATATCAAAATAAATTATGAAACTTAATTTTCAATCGATCTTGTCAGGCCCAATGTTAAATGATAAAATTTTGATCCTGTCAGGCCCAATGTTAAATGATAAAATTTATAAAAAATTTAATTAAAAAATAATAGAAAAATGAGTTAAGTCAATATGGGTTAATCTGCTAAGTATTATTTTAGGGTCACGAGATCATGATAACTTTATAAAATTAAACTGAAATAATTCATGAAATCTAATTTTCAATCAAATACAATATTAAATGATGAAACTGGAAAAAAAGTCAATAAAAAAGAGTTGAGTTAATTAGAAAAAACTAAGTCAACTAGATTAACCTACTAAATCCGTAACTCTAGTTATGAGACAGAAACAATCCAGCAAAAAACAAATTTAATATTGAAGGATATGAGATCGAGATAACCTTTTAGAAAAGAAATAATAAAAAAAATACATGATTTAACCATGATAAAAATGCAAAAAATTATAATTATGATCATGATCATGAGATTAAGATATCTACATAAAAAATAAATTAAAACAAATTATGATCAAGATATCTACATAAAAAACAAATTAAAACAGATTATGAAGTTTAATTTCCTACCGATTTAATATTAAATGAAAAAATTAAAAATATTTAATATAAAAAATAATTTAATTTATTTTGAATTAGCTCATTAAATATCATTCTTGGATTATGATATTAGAATAATTTAATATAAAATAAATAAAACAATTAATGAAATTTAATTTTTAATTAACTAGAAAAAAAATTTAGAGCTAGGGAAATTACTATTCATTCTTAAAGTAACTTGTTAGATGACGATGATAACGACGACGATGAAGAAGAAGAAAAAGAAGTGGCAGTAGTAGTGGGAAAGGTGCAGGGAGGTTTGATATAGGGCTGGTGATTTGTGGCCTGTCAATGGGATTTTGCCAAGTGTCTTCTGACAGGATGTCAGCTCACGGTGGTTTTTGTCTAGTTCTCTCGCGGTCTCTCTGAGATTGATTGTGAAGTTTTTGTTGCTTATAAAACTCATGCTAGTGTCGTGTTAAACATGATTTAACAAACCAAGAACATGAAGGCTCGAGGAGATAAATTTAACTGGCATGTTATGCGTGCAGGGAAGTAGAATACGCTGCTCTAGAAAAATACAAGCATGTCTTCTGAGATCCCTTCCCCTGAAATACACAACGCAGTGAGTGCTTTTCCAGTGAGAAAATTGCTGGGAAAGGAATTGCAAGAAGGAAGGCCCTGTGTAGAATTTGCTGAAGCGGTGCACAGACCAAATGTCATGTGAGAATGTTGGTTATGGTTGATGAGCAAAAGTATTCAAGTTTAATGATCCCGGTGCACCGGCCATGTCTTGTCATGAGGGGAGCAACACTTAAGACAACTAACCTGCGTATGCCTGCCTATCTAGAAGAAGTCTATGGAGTGAGATAGATTCTTCCTGATACGTTCTGATTGAGAGAGATTGGGCGGTGCTGCAGCTATGAACCCAGGCCACACATGCTAACAATCAAACATGCAGCAAGTTCTGTCACTTCTGAGTTGGCAGCATTTGGCTCACAATACAAAAGTCAATACCCTTGAGTAGTTGCTCAAATGACCTTTAAACTCATACGTTTTATCTTTGTTTTTTATGTTATTTTTTTCTTTATTTTTTTTTAATTTTTTAAATTGATAGGCGTAAAATTAAGGCAATTCCCACAAAATTTTAATTAAAAAACTAAAACAAAAAGTGAGATGGAAATTTAAGTTTGATTGGTTAAATCAAATTTGATTTTAATATCAAATATATTTTTTAATATTCAATTTTTTAATATTCAATTTAGTTAGTGCAATTAGAGATCACATGTTGTAGTCTATCTACATTATTTATTGAATAAAATAAATATAGAGAAATTTACTCATTTAAATTAGTCCGAATATATATCCATTATGTTCAATTAAATTATACTCACATTTCATCTTATATACAGAATCGACTACACCAAGACGTGGACTAATTTATATATGACAACATTTGACTTCTTCATCGAAGCAATGTCTAGTTATTTAACAACTTAAAAAGGTTATTATAGATGGCAGTTGTCGGTGGCCAGTTTCAAGCGATCCCGGCTGAACTGGCTAGTTCAGTGGATCACATTTTGTTGAAGAGGAATTCAAACCAAACAGGTACAGAAGCCCACTTGGCATTTGTTGACAAAAGTTCGCAAGTGATTGCAAAGAGCCTCAGTGTATCCACTGCGCTAATTGAGATCCACTGAGCCCATCAGAGACTTGTCAATGTTAATGTAGCCATAATTTTTTTTAATTAACGTAGATGTTTGCATATATTTTAATTAATTTTATAGATCCTGAAATTAATAATAATACTAAGATTTATAAAACTCCAACTAATAATTTTTAAAAAATAAATTCAGAATTTAACTAGTAGAATTACATCTCTCAGGATTTATAAAATCATATTTTTTTGTTATTGGTAGTTTTGTATTTTAATTAAAAATATATTTTTATATTTATTAATGAAATATAATTTATTTAATTTCTTTTCATGTGCCTTTTTTTAGAAATAAACCGCTACTTAAAAAAATACAAGTAATAATCAATTTCTAGGTTTTTAGTTTCATAAAAAAAAC